ACTCTGATTTATCGATAAGCCCCACCGAGGCGGTGAAAGAGGAATTGCCGGGCAGGCCCCGGGCGGTGATCTGGCGGGAGGGCTCGAGTAGGCGCTGGAAGGTTCGATGATGAGATCCTCAGCTTGGGCTTTTCGCCTGATAGTTACTCTGCTGGATGAGTCAATTTCGTGTTATTTCTAGCTAGAATTGTCTCCTTTCGCATTGTCAGAGCTCCCAGTAACTGTCCAAACTCTTGATTCATCTTTGAACAATCTAAAACTGTTGTAATCCCTCTAATATTATTGATTGATACCCATTCATTGACGCCGTTGCCCGACAGCTCATAACATAACGAGTGACGAACTGAGCCACTTACCTAACTTACCTAACAGACCGCCCCCCCGATAGTGGCGTGGCTGCAAATTCTCCCCCTCGTCCCTCTTCTTTTTGCTCTGGATCCTCACCCAACCTCCCCCTCCCCCATATTACCTCCCACCAACACCTCTTTCTTCCTTTTCTCTCTATTCGCCCTCCCCCCCACCACACCCCCTCCCCCTCGCAAAAATGTCTGTCGTTGGTATTGATCTCGGTGCCCAGAGCACCAAGGTCGGTGTTGCCCGTAACAAGGGTATCGATATTGTGCGTATATCTATTTCTTTTCCCCCATTCTGCCCCTCTACTCATTTTTCCCGCTCCTCTCCTGCTTAGCGTTGGCGGAGACTGATATTTTCCCCAAACGGAGACTAACCAGTATCTTGGAACCATGAATAGATCACGAACGAAGTTTCCAACAGATCTACCCCGTAAGTTGGCGCTCTTCCCTTATTCTATTCGTTCCGCGCAATAATACTGATGTGGTTTGTGCAATAGTTCCCTGGTTGGTTTCAGCGCCAGAAGCAGACACATCGGTGAGGCCGCAAAGACCCAAGAGACCTCCAACCTGAAGAACACCGTCGGCAACCTCAAGCGTTTGATCGGCCGCGCTTTCAGCGACCCCGATGTTCAGCTCGAGCAGGAGTACAGCACAGCCCAGATCTGTGATGTCGATGGCCAGGCTGGTGTTGAGGTCAACTACCTCGGCAAGAAGGAGAAGTTCTCTGCCACCCAGCTGGTCGCCATGTACTTGACCAAGATCAGAGACATCACCGCCAAGGAGTTGAAGCTCCCCGTTTCCGATGTCACCATCAGCGTGCCCGCCTGGTTCACCGATGTTCAGCGCCGCGCTATGATCGATGCTGGTGAGATCGCTGGCCTCAAGGTTCTTCGCCTGATCAACGACACCACCGCCACTGCTCTGGGATACGGTATCACCAAGCTGGACCTCCCCGGCCCCGAGGAGAAGCCCCGCCGTGTTATGTTCGTTGATATCGGTTACAGCGACTACACCGCCTCCATCGTTGAGTTCCGCAAGGGTGAGCTCAATGTCAAGGCCACCGCCTGCGACCGTCACTTCGGTGGCCGCAACTTCGACAAGGCTCTCACCGAGCACTTTGCCGATGAGTTCAAGGAGAAGTTCAAGATCGATGTTCGCTCCAACCCCAAGGCCTGGTCCCGTACCCTCGCCGCCGCCGAGAAGATGAAGAAGGTTCTGTCGGCCAACCCTGCTGCTCCCATGAGCATTGAGTCTCTGATGGAGGACGTCGATGTCCGCTCCATTGTCAAGCGTGAGGAGCTGGAGGTCATGGTCAAGCCCCTTCTTGAGCGTATCACCGTTCCTCTTGAGCAGGTCCTCGCCGAGGCTAAGCTCACGATCGATGACATCGACTCCATTGAGATGGTTGGTGGCTGCACCCGTGTCCCCGCCGTCAAGGACGCCGTTGCCAAGTTCTTCGGCAAGGGCCTGTCCTTCACCCTGAACCAGGATGAGGCCATTGCTCGTGGCTGTGCTTTCAGCTGTGCCATCCTCTCCCCCGTCTTCCGTGTCCGTGACTTCTCCGTGCACGACATCGTGAACTACCCCATCGAGTTCACCTGGGAGCAGTCCGCCGACATTCCCGATGAGGACACCAGCCTGACTGTCTTCAACCGCGGCAACGTCATGCCCTCCACCAAGATCCTTACCTTCTACCGCAAGCAGCCCTTTGACCTCGAGGCTCGTTACGCCAAGCCTGAGATGCTCCCTGGCAAGATCAACCCCTGGGTTGGTCGCTTTTCTGTCAAGGGTGTCAAGGCTGACGCCAACGACGACTTCATGATCTGCAAGCTTAAGGCCCGCCTTAACCTGCACGGTATCCTTAACGTCGAGTCCGGCTACTATGTTGAGGACATGGAAGTCGAGGAGCCCGTTCCCGAGGAGAATGAGAACGGCGAGGTGAGTTTCCGTTTCCCTATGAACTTGCAGTAAGATCGAGACTAATGTACCTAGCCCATGGACACTGGCAAGGACGGCGAGCAGCCCAAGAAGACCCGCAAGGTCAAGAAGCAGGTTCGCAAGGGTGACCTGCCCATCTCCGCCGGTACCCCTGGCATCGACGAGTCGCTCAAGAACACCTGGACTGAGCGTGAGAACTCCATGTACATGGAGGACAAGTTGATCGCCGAGACCGACGAGAAGAAGAACGAGCTCGAGGCCAGCATCTATGAGCTCCGTGACAAGATCGATGGTGTCTACTCCGAGTTCGCCAGCGAGGAGGAGAAGGAGAAGCTGCGTTCCAAGCTCATGGACACTGAGGTTAGTTCCATATTCCGCTCAATTTCTTTGTCACAGTGCTAATTCGTCCATAGGACTGGCTCTATGATGAGGGTGAGGACACCACCAAGTCCGTCTACGTGGCCAAGATGGATGAGATCCGCTTCATTGCCGGTCCCATCATCCAGCGCCACCGCGAGAAGGCCGAGGCCGAGCGCCAGGCCGTCCTGCAGGCCCAGGAGGAGGCGGCCGCTAAGAAGCGGGCCGAGGCCGAGGCTCAGCGCAAGGCTGAGGAGGAGGTCAAGAAGGCTCAGGAGAAGGCTGATGATACGGAGATGAAGGACGCCCCGGCTGAGGGTGAGGCCAAGGCTCAGGAGTAAATGTCCTTCTTGGTGGTTGAGCCACTGGCCTAGCGGTGTGGCAGGTGCAGTGCGCTGGCAATGTGGTCACGAATTAATACAAATATCTTGATCCCCCGTGTTATTTCCTTTTATTTGTGAATCCTCTTCTTATTTTTTTTTGTGCATCGCCGAGAACCGGCTGGCTCTTGTGATGTAAAAACGACGTCGAGCCACTTCTGTTCTGCCCTTGTCTGATCTTTCCCTGTTCGGATCGCTTTCAAAGCGGTGCTGTTGCTGGTGAGTGGGACATGGGAGGCAGAAGAAAGGATAAAAGACATAGATCCGACATGGACCTTTTTGATAGACGTTTCAGGCAACGGTATATGACTGGTTAATCACTACTAGAAGGCCTTTGGAGGGTGCTCATTATGATTTGAGGCTTATCAGTCAGTGCCTTTTATTTATTGTAGCCTCGAGCAAGGGATGGAAAAGAGGATTGGTCATGTGACCCTGCAATTGCATTCTTGCCGAGGATATTTTCTTCCCTGCACGATACGAATACGAGTGCGTAGGTTATGGGTCAGCGAGAGGATGAGTTGGATTCATCTGGGATTTATTTTGCACGCAGTCAGAAAATGTTCAAGAGCCACATTGCGTACGTCTCAAGTGGATTGCAGCCTAGTCACCACTGGGCAGCCAGTGTCAACTGCCAAGTCACGATAACAATACACAGTAATTTCTATGAGACTACTCCGTACTTGCGGTGGTCTAAGGGGGTTCGGACGGAGTTTACACAGTAGGCGCTTCCGAATCGGTAGCATGAATTGAATTGACGATTGGCATTTGGCATTGGCAGCTAGACTAGCTAGTTCCGAGGGTCCCTTCTCCCCTCCCACGACTAGTCTCCATGCCAAGGGGGCAAAGGAAAGGAAAAAGCAGGAATGGTTGTTCCTGTCCTAATCCGCTGCAGCAATGGTTTCCCTGGGAGTGGAGCCCCCTAATTTTTTTTTTTTTTCGGCCTCCTCGGCGGCGGGTGTGGATAGGCAAAGGAATAGGGGGTTGTCCCGTTACCGGACAGGTTGGATGCTGTGAGCTCTCATTCTGGCAGGTAGTGATTGATAGAGAGGAGGGGAAAGGAAGGGAAACGGTGGGTGTAGCTGAGATAAGAACTGTACAGCGTACACTTTCCAAACTGACATATACTAGTCGCGCAAGGTTGTCTCAGGTAGCGTGGCTTGCTTGTTGCTGGGGGTTTCTATCATTTAAGGCTCTGACTCCGGGCGGTTTTGTGCTGACTCTTCTTCATTATTATTATTATTATTATTATTCCCGACTTCCGGATACACAGTAGATAACTTTCTCGGACAGTCGGACTGGGTATCTACCGGGAGCGATGGATGGGTCTTTCGGTCTTTTTTTTCTTTCTTGTTTTTTTTTTTTTTTTTTT